ACACTCACACACACAAAATAACCCGCCTTCTATGTCACCTTTCTTCTGGCCCACTCCTAATGCCACTTCCTTCCCCAAGATAAACACAGTACTGCACAAACCCAGATCTCACTGAGGTAACTATCCTACTAAATATTTCAAACTGGTAACTTGGTAAAACCTTCAAGTAAGTGAGTTGAGGAGTGACAGTGTACAGTAGTATAGATTCTGTAGTCTGAGCATATAGCATAAAATATCCTACTATGTACAGTATTAGTGAGATGAATACAGTACTATAATAAGAAAGGTGTATACACAGCTGCCGTTTGCGACATTAACACCATTTTGATGTAGTGGTTCATTGTTCCGAGTACTGATCTATTGTGGTGTTTCATATGGTAAATTGACCAGGTACATTGGTAGATATATAAACAGATGTATGAGAACCAAACTTATGAGATCATAACATTGTGAACTGAGGTATAGTAGTATAATATAAAGCTAAATAACAGAAGGTAAATATCTCTCTCATTAAATGTTCTGGAAATTTTAATAACTACATTTTTTTGTCTCAATCTGATGTTATTAATGATTCATGATACCTCCAGGTAAAGCAATAAGCAAAATGAAATAAATGAATAACAATAATAAGAACATCAGTGATACCCAACAGAGGCCACAGTGTTAAATGAGAGTAAACCTGTGAAGGAACATTAACACCCACTTCTTCTAATAAGTAACTAAACACAAAATAATTAATAAAAATCTACAAAATCTAGGTTATATATACTGTACATACATCACATATGTAAATTGATCATCAAATAAATGTAAAACTTCTATTATGAACAATAAAATTACAGTTTAAATTCTCTACCCAATTCATCTATGTAATTACTGTACTGTAATTAGCTCCTAATTATTCTACTAATCTACCTCTACTAATCTATCATGTACATCAAGCCTATGACAACATACATACAATGTGAATACTTCATAACTGTCACCATAATGGCTTACACATTCATACACAAACACACACACAGTCTACTGCTCCTTCTCTACCATAGTTCAACAACAATTCATAAACAGTCTATCACTATTTTTGCAGTTAATTATCATATATTCCACATTGCCACATACATTTCATGCATTCACATACACTGCATGCATTCATATACATTCCATACCATCTCCACGTATGTTAACTGCGTGTCTGTTTGAGGTTAACATAACATGTTTATTGCAGCATCTTTCTTCAAATCATCAATTCCTCTTAAAAAGTCACAGCCAACTTTACAGGACCACTTCACACTCATGCTCTGCCGTTGCATATACTGTATACACTTTCACAGTCAACACCTCAGCTTCTTTTCCTTTCAGGCATGCATTATAATGACAGGAACCAAGTCTTACTTTTAACTTTCTTCTACATACATTCTTTGTGTAAACAGTACAAAATTTGCCTGTCAATAAATCAAGAGTGATTGCTTATTGGGATATTCAAAGCCTTTAAAATTTTCTGCCTATTCTTACAGTAATGTTTATACCAAGATTCCTGACAAACAACTTTCTCTCTCTAATCAACATTCATTTCTTTTTACTCCAATAGTGAATAAAAATAAATAAATAATTTTTGGGATGGTCAGACAACTTTCCTGCATATACTGTACAGTAGTCTTAATTATGACAACTGCTCAACATTAGTTTGTTGTATGCACTTGACATTTTTTATCCAACTAAAGTAAACCAACAAGGATCCACACCTCCAATAACTGAACAAATGCAAAGGATATAATGTGCAAGAGTTTACTGAAGTGTGAACACAGAGAAAAAAAAAAAGCTGTTCACCTGCATTATAGCTGTCACAGGCATGTTCATTGTTACATGCAAATATGACACCAAGAAAATCTGTTTAAGTGTTAAGCTCATGCCAACTGTATTCTGAAGGGAAGGAAAGGAAAAAAAAAGGGGGGGGGGTGCACAAACCCTAGCAAAGAGAAGGAACCTATCAGTGATAACTTGTGTATGAGCCAACACCAGGAAGCAAAGTTATGTCTCAAGATGTACAAATCCCCTGCCATGCTATAGCCAAGTCCTAAGGCACACAATTCAAGATGAAATTAATAAGAAAATATGGATTATCAATTTTTTGGTTGAGAATGTCACAAGATATAACTACAGTACATAAACAATTGTGGTTCAAATCCATTGTTACTTGATTGAAGTGTTAAGTGTGTACAGTATTCCTAAGTTCCTCTCATCTCCTGAGAAAATAAAACTGCATTGAAATCTATGATTCTGTACAGATATCCCTCGCTATATGAACATTCGCTTATACAAATACTGTATTCTATTCTTACGCCTCTTTTCACAATACCAAAGTTATTTTCACATATACAAATGATGGTCCCTTAAGGTAATATAACAAATTTACATTCATTTTTTTTAAGTGTTAGGTACTAAATTACAGTAATTGGGTACTGTACTAATTTACAGTGCAGTACCATATTTAATTTTTTAGGTACGTATATTGCTGTTTTCTTGTATAGTTTAGTACAGTACTAAATTACAGTAGGTAGGTTTTTTTTTTTGTGTGTGTGTGTGTGAAGCTGTCATTTTTTTAGGTATAATATTAAGGCTTTCTTGTCTTTAGGAAACCGAATCCAATTTTTCTCATATGTTATGTTATTCAATGTACAAATAATCACTCAACAAATGGTTTTCAAGGAACCTAACCAATTCATATAGCAGTGGATACTTGTACTCTTACTTCTCTAAAAAGCAACGTGTGATACAGGACTTGAATACTGATCAATCAAAGTGCCATCCTCAGCTGCAAAGGTTAGAGCTCACGGCAACATCAGTGTGGAGAACTAGTGAGTATCAGCAGCTTAAAGGCTTATCTGGTATGTGATGACAAGTATCTTCTACTGTTTTTTTTAGGGAGGGGGGAGTAAAAAAAATTATGAAATTACCCTCAGTAAATGGTAACCCAATTAAGCAAATCTGATTTAAAATACATCCTAAATTTTTTTTATACAATATATGTATTGTACACCACTTTATTTTTTAAGTACTGGATCCATTTATTTGTAACACAATTTAATTTTTAACACTGCCCAAAACTTATGTTGTCCCTCTTCTGTTACCAAAACTATTCCATGTTTTAAGATTAAACATAAGGAGAACAACTAGGTCAAGAGATACACGAGTCTGGATGTGGCAAGATGGAGAGGGAGGGTAGGCCAAGTAGAGGCTGTGAGAATTAATCTCCAGTAAAAGCACCTGACTAACAGCTGCCATCATGTAGTCACAGCTAACCCAAGCAAGAGTGAAAAATGGCCGTAAAATATTGATACAATTGATACCTCATTAATTGGCGGAGGAAAACAAAAAAGTTCTTGGGTATATGAGCTTTGATCACTTGATACCGGTAGTACTGTACAATTGACATATAATTTTAGTTTTCAATATACATTATTAACCAAGTACTAGTCTGCTGACTCCATTAGCATTCAAGAGGCAAAATTCACCAGTAAATTAAGAGGAGCAGCAGTGTGTGCCAATAAAAATAAATAAATAAATAAATAAATAACTACAAAATCATCCATCAAGAGCAATTTTTTTCTAACACCTCCCTGGGTGACCTGGATTACTTTATGTAGGTATTATTACTCACCTTTAACAAACTGATAAAATGAGCATTAAGAAATTATACAAATCCTCTCAATGTCACATGGCAAGAAGCCAGTCCATGAAGTAATAAGTGTACATCACAATGGTTCAGTTCTAGCTGGATGGTCCACAGCTCCCCACAACACAAGTAATGGAGATATTTCTTGCAGTAGGGAAGTTAAGTCATAACAAGACAACAATAACTAACATGTGGTACTGTATAGAGATATCCCCACAACAGGCAAGACAGTGTGGCCAATAGTGTCTCAAGAATACAGTTCACTTATATGTAAATAATGTCAGTGATGTGTTGCATGTAGGTCATGTTGACCTATTTCTGGCAGGATGGTGCACAACTCCCTACAACATATTTCCATATAATAAAAGCAGACCCTTAAAAGTTAACCACAGCATAATGATAGACACACATAATGCTTTATCCCCTTGCTAACTTTGTAGTAAAGGGATAAGTATGTTGGTTAGTTTGAGAACTTAGCATAACATTTCTGAAAGGATTACCTTGCAAATTCTAAAGGAAAGTCTTCACAACTTGGAAGATTAGTGCCAAAGCCATTCTTACCATTGTTAAATGGAGAGAAAAGTAGTAAAGTTTACAAGAGTTAAAAATAAGCCAAGCGCATTTTTATAAAAGAAAGGTGTATTCAGACCTGAGAACACACTTGCACTGCAAACTTTATACACAGATTTGCTGAGAGTATCCATCCAATTTAAGATTCACATCTGAAGTGTTATACTGTACAGTAAATCTCTCCATTAGCCGGAATCCCTCCAATAGCTGGAATTGAAATTTGCTTGGAATTTTCCAGAAAATTCCGGGTTTGGGAACGATTTCCTGAGGTTGAAAATCAGCTGCATTTTCTGGAAAATTCTAAGAAAAAAATTGGAAACTCTCTCCATTTTTTTGCTGGGTCGGGGAGCAAATTCCGAGGATGAAATAATGTGTAGTTATAGAAAATTCAGGAAACTATCTCCATTTCTTTTTTCCTGGGCCTGGGAGCATATTCCAAGGATGAAATAATGCACAATTTCAGGAAAATTCTGAGAAACTTTTACCAGTACAATACCAGGAAAAATTCTGGGGATGGGGGATTTTTTCTGGGTTTGAGAGAGTTGTCTTATTACCGGGTACCCGGAAATCTCTCATCCCTGTAAGGGCTCTGCACCAATTGTTCCGGCTAATGGGGATATCACTATTTACAGACACACACAAAGCTAAATTAAAAAATGTTTAAAAAGCAATTCAAACTTGACAGATAAAACTAAAAATCCCTATATACAAAGGAACTAAGAACAGGATGTCAACAAGAGCACAGGGTACTTACGATGGAATAAGAGGTGGTGGAAGCGCCCCTGAATTACCCTGACGACCTGGTGGGGCTGGAGTCGGGCGAGAGGGAATGGCTGGAGCAGGCCGTCCCCCAATGGGTACTGGAGGTGGTGCTCGAGACACTGCTGGTGGAGGAGCTCGTCTCATGTTTCCACCAGGAGACGGGGGGCCACTATGGCCAATCCTAAAAATTCACAGATCATCAGCAAGATAATTAAACTACAGTACAGTACTTTTATTTCTACCCAGACATAGTATACTAAATACAAACATATTTCCACCCCCGTATACTAAGTTTATTAATAAAACGTGCTAATTTACTTTATTTCTTATAATTCTTTTCCATTCACTGTCACGTGTCCTTTCTACCAGCAGCAACAAATGTGTTTTGCCAACAACAAACATTAGCAGCACAGGTATGACTCCACTAATTAAAATTCTCCAACCTTCTCCAACGGTTCAACACCCATTCTAATCTTTCAGTTGGGCAAACTTTGTCTATATATTGTACATGGTGTGAAAAGTCATTTCCCCTCAATCAAAAATGGCTCACCCTAACACCACCTGCCCAAGGCTTATAACCAACACAAAAGCCACCCGTGTTGTTAGTGAGCGGTGTAGCCCGGTATGTGCACACATTCATGCACATGCAGTGAGTGGAAACAAGTGTACTTATTTGAAGTTCCCATACTGAATGAAAGGTTATACAGCATCTCATTCCAAACTTTATTCTTCAAGTGCCTCAGGTCAATGATTAACACAATTCAAAATAAGAAAGCTATGTAAACATTAAATGTTCTGAGCTTTTGGTGCTGTCTTCTGGTGACCAATTCACCTGGTTGGCTGCCAGAATGAGAGGCAAAAATTCTCGCTGCATGATGCTAATGTGGATGAAGAGGATGTGTGGGTGAAGCCAAACCTGGACCCTTCATCTGAGAGTCGTGGAGGACAGGGGGAACTGACAAAACGAAAGAATAATGCCATTTTAGGGTATATATAAATAAATATATATATTATGTGATGATACATGATGGCATATAAGTTTAGTCCCAAATACTATGGATTAGGGTGAAGGTATGAGAGATGGGTTATAGTGAGTGTCTACACCTGGGGACAAAGAGAGAGAGGGAAAAAGGGAGAGGATTTGGAGAGATTTGAGGAGCTAAAATTAAAGCTTCAAAAAGTAAGTAACAAAAGAAAGAAAGTGGAAATGTGAGTAATATGAAAACTCAGGAATAAATGATAGCTAAAAGAATGAAAAAAACAAATGACTGATGCTGGGGACACAAGGCTAACAAAAGGAAATGCAGTAGAAGTACAGATGTAGAGGCAGGCTGAGATGGTTTAATCATATGGAAAAAATGGATAAGACCAATTGGGTCAAGAGATGCAGGAGCCTAAATATGGAGGGGAGAAGACAAGAATGAAATTGGGAGAAATTGTAATACAGGTTGACAACCCTTTATCCGAAATTCCAAAAACCGAAAAGCTCTAAAAACCTTAAGTTTTTTTGTGGGTCTTTTTTTTTTTTTTTTTTTATAACAGGGATTATTAGCCCACCCAGGCACAGATCACTGACCCGCATCGGGGCCTGGGGGGTGAAAATGTAATGATTACAATAATAATGATAATAATAATAATAAAATATAATAATAATAATAACAATAATAATAATACTGTAATAATAAAATAATAATAATACAGTAAAGAAATACAAGAATGAAAAAAAGATCAAAAGTGAGAAACACGACCTAGACCTATGAATTATTATTATTATTATTATTATTATAATTTTTATTATATTTTCGACCCCCAGGCCCCAATGTGGGTCAGTGATCTATGCCCGGGTGGGCTAATACACATTAAAAAAAAAAAATAAATAAATAAAAAAATAAACTAACCATTCTGAAAACCGAAAAATTCCAAAAACCGAAATGCCTCTGGCCCCAAGGATTTTGGATAAGGGATTGTCAACCTGTAAATGACAGAGTTAGGAACCTGATAAGAGAGAGAGTGCAAGAAGCCGCGCAGCATGGAGAGCTACCACTAGGTAACTGCAACTAACCCATGCAAGCAATGATGATGATGGTGAGGCAGTCGAGGGTTGCTTATATTATGTAGAAAACACTGAAATGAAAGGCAAGTGATATATAGGTGCCAAGAAGAGTGATGTACTATATTGAGTAGCTGGCAAAAGTGAAATGACAATGAATAGAAGGTTCAAGGTGAGGGAACCAAAGATGTGAAAATTTTGAAAGTGACAAATTGAAGGATAAAACTGGAAGAAAATACATCCATGTAAATAAGAATGAAATGGAATGGACTAATGTAAATTGGGAGCAGTCAAGAGTGTAAACCAATCAAATTTAACTAAAATGTTTGGGTAAAAAAAAATTTAGGAAACGCACAAAAAAAAAAAATATCACATGAAATTTACCCCTGCAACCCAGATTATTCGACCTGGATGGGTTATGTTAAGACTAGATTATGTTGGGTTGGGTTATTTTTAATTAGATTAGGTTAGCTTTAGGATGGTCAATCTTAAGGTGAAATAAACTGGCGGTTAATCTTCACGTGATAAAAATAAATGAATAAAATTGAATGGTGGCGAGAGATCAGACTGGCTACGTATCACCTTGAGTACTGTACAGTGTTATTGTACTCAAGAGGATTGATTATTATCCACCGTATTCATTGAGATAAGACATCGTGCATAAGAGATTAAATATTGTACTCAGGGGGTTAAATCATTGTATTCAGGAATAAAGATATCTTACCGAATGGCCGGATTTATCGAACTCCAAGAGAAAAAGGTTATGGTCAATAGTAAGAGCATATGACTACCAACTACAGGTATATGAGAGGAGAGATGAATGTTGGGATGGATAACAAGTGGAATAAGAAACACATGGAAGATAAACATTAGGAGGAAAGAGTCGTAAAAGAAGTGTATGGGGTTTCCCTCTGACCTAAATAAAATATTAAAAGTGGCTTGTCTGTAGTGAAGGGGTTAAGGTTTAAAAAAAAAACCAAGAAAACAAATAAGAATGGCAGTTGAAAATGAAAATGGCAGATAAGAATATGTGTGTGTGTGTGTGTGTGTGTGTGTGTGTGTGTGTATTATGAAAGTGGACGAAAATATGAAATGTGACAAAGTACAGTACAGTAATATGGTGAGTGAAGCAGAATAATACTAAAAAAAAAATCTGAGAGAGAATTGTGAGTTACAAGGCCAGGCTGAACAGACAGATTACCCCTGAGCAGGGTTACAAAAGGGGGTATAAATGTATTAAGAGAATATTAAGTATTGGTGTGGTAAAAGAAGCAAACGTGGAAAATGGCCATAAAACGATGATGATGATTCACATGTAGATGGTAGGCAATGGTAGGCAAGAGAGAGTGGGGACGACCAAGAAGGATGGAAGGAAGGAATGAGGGAGGTACTGGAAGGGGATGGGGGTTCAGGAAGCAGCAGTGTGTAAGCTGGACAGGAAAGAAAGCATGGCACAGTATCAAGTGGTCAATGTAGATGACTATAATGCTAGTGTGTCAATGTTGGTTTGCATTATGTTACAGAAATAAACTGGAAACAGAACACCACAGAGGTATACAACTGACAACACCTCAAAAGAACACAGCTGCTACAAAACTAAGAGAAAACGAATGACAACAAATGTAAGGAGGAACGGTGTTGCTCTTGATTCTGGCTGCCCTGAGATTCAGTGGGGCAATGTCATATTTGCTAGTGTTGTGGTGTTCCAATGCACAGTGACAATAGTGCACTAGCAAACATTGCAGTAAGTGTTATGATACAGAATAGTGCATACACATGCTGAGGACATGTGCAAGTGCGTATGGATATTTGTACATTGCATTTCAGCCATTTTGTGTTGCTTCCTACAATTGTTTAGCAATACTCTCCACTTTTCTGAGGCTCCTACATTCCTTGACACAACCCACAAAAAATAAGAGGAGTAAAAATAACATACTGTACAGAAATACAGGTTTTACACATAAATGGAATCAAATGAGTTCAGATTAGGAAATAAATTAAATTATTTATTGATTCAGGGTGTTAGGGTAGGGTAGCTTAGAGGTTCAAAACTCTTAACAGTCTCTCATCTCCTACACCTAACTAACCCTAACCCCCTAGTTCAAGTTGTATAGAACTTCCTACAGAAAAAGTTACAAAATTTTCAGGGATGTAGAAGAAAATATTAAAATCCATTTGACAGAGAAACTTACAATCTAACTTAACATTTAAAGTGACAACTAAGATTGAAGAGGAACAGGTGTACCATCAAGGAGTGTGAGCTTTTACTTCTGAGCTGAGGAAAGTTCAGCACTTTATGGACGACCAACAGTGATGGGAGATATTTTACAAGACTACACTACTGTCCTAAGGTTCCCATCATCTATCTGTCTGTTATTACACTGGGTAGAACAAGTGTAAAAGAAACTACTGTACTAATATGAATTGGGTAATATTTACATCATGTCAAATGAAAAAAATATATAAATGAATCACAATTTCCACATTGCCAGAACATTTATTTCACTGTGTTTTACATATACTGCCCTTCAACTAGATATAACTAATACAGTAAAGTGCAAACTACGGTAGGATGAAGTGAATAAACAAGGGTGACCAAGAGAACAAATGGAGTCCCTCAACTGTACGGCAGATCTTGAAGGGCAGGCAATGAGCCAACTCAAACACCCGGAAATCAACTTTGGTTTTGGTAATAAAAATATCTTTGACATGACAAATTGATATAAATGTAAAAAAAAAAAGCAACTCCACTGACACTTTCACTTTAGGATATCAATTGGCATATCACATAAGAATTTTGTTCATTCTATTACCCACTTTTAATCAATTTCCTAACATTAGGGTGAAGAACTCTTGTATCCTAAACCTCATCCTTCCAGCTGCTTTAGTCATCGTATATAACAAGGTTATTGTCCACTAAATTTGTCTCAGATTATGTTGTGCAGTAACCCCAGGCCAGGACTATGTCTATAGCTCCCTGGATGATCGACAACAAGAAGCAGAGGACGCAGAAAATCGGTTGTTTGAGGTCCTGCCCCTAAAACCTATTACTGTACCATTCTTAAACTTTCATGAGTCTTGTGGATAAAAATTTTCATAAATAGAAATTTTTCATATTCTGAGCTAATTCTAACCCCAGGATTTGAAATTCTAATAAATGTTAAGTGAATTAATTACCTTGGACTTTCTTGACCAGTTGAGAGCCAATCATCCTTGACTGGAGGTGGCATTGGAGTAGACACCGTTGCCATGGATACATCTCCTATAATCTTAAGAGCTTCTTTACATGCGTGGTACATGCGCAGCATCTCCTCTCGCTTGCGTGCTTCCTCTGGACTTTCTTCCATCATTGAATTCTGTAAACAATTTGTGTGTAATGTCCCAAAAATTCTACATCACCTTATATTTTCAAAAGAACTACAGTAGTTATTACAAATTGTTTAATATAACTACAGTCATGGAAACTATCTATGAGTAGTGATTTTTTTAAGAGAGCAGAAGGTTGACAGTGCTGTACCTGGTCACCAGAAGCATAAAGATGGGCAAGCAGTTCTCCCATGATGAAGTCTTTGGTGTTGTTGATCATCAAATTCATGACAACCTTTGGTACTAAATCTCGTGTAGTCTTAGTGACAATCTTCATGTAGGAATCAACTAAGTTGCGAATTGTCTCCACTTGCCGTTCAAGCTGAGGGTCCATGGATGTGGAGCATTCACTGGGGCCCTGAAAACAAAAAGATAACTTGAAAGAATATATGACAATGGATGAAACAGTCTATGCTGCTCTTGATTCCAGCCACTCTGTTGCCAAATGGAAGGGTTTGTAAAAATAAGAGGCAGAATATGTATGTAACTGGGCTTACCTCTTCCCCATTGCTAGAGTCAGAAACTTTCTCTGGGTAGACGCCAGCACGTAGGAATGATGCCTTCCAGGAGTCCATGTCATCCTGAGTCTCTACACCCAACTGTAGCTCCTTGTAGTCCTTTAGATATACATCACACTCATCAATATTTGTCACATTTACAACAACTACATAAAATATTATAGTGTTACCCGGTATACATATTGACAGTTTATTAACAGGTAGATCATAGGAGTGTGGCGTAACGGAATATTCTACGCATAATATTATCATATTATATAATTCTTTAGACTACCATTAAAACAGCATGTCTCTTATGCTCTCTGAACATGAGCTCACAGCTCCAGCTGTCCATAAATATTTATATATAAAGTGTATCATGGTGTTACAATACAATAAAAACACACAGTTGTATTTAAGAAGATCCCTGCCACTAAATACTCCTACCAAAACAGTGATGGAAAAGGGACAGAACCCAACATTATTGATATAAAGAAACTAGAAATTTTTGAAATTAAAACAAATGACTATAATACAGTGATGTACAACTTGTGGGATGATAATACTGTAACTCATTAGAAATTAACTTAAAGAAAATTTAATCAAACAAATCACTATAATAGGTGGTCAAGTGGAAAGAGCGCTCGCCTCCTGTTTTAGGGGTAAATGGTTTGATTGCTGGGTGCTCCCAGTTCACCCAGCAGTAAATGGGTACCTAAGTTTACAACTTGGGAATGTGAATGTGGTAGAGAGCAGTACCGGCTTAGTATACAGTGTGCTATATCCACACTGTTCCCAAAGGGCAGTCATACCTATGGGGCCCACTTTCACTAAGTAGATCAGCTGTTGCAGATGCCGCATAATAAAATACTATAATCTTGCCCTACACACCGATACAATTAAATATTTCTCATTTATGTAAATCCTGTCATGAAGGTTGACATTTTATCAGTGATATTTTCCTTGGCTTGGTGTTGATCTTCACAGCTTCATGAGCTCAATGCTTCCCCTAAATGGAGAATTGGCAATAATTTTAACTCGCCGGTGATAATAAAATAAGATGACCAGCAAAGCATCAAGATCTACCTCACTCTCTTGCACGCACACAATGTCTTACCTTGTAGACATTCTTCAGGTCTGGGTTGTAGAGAGCGAACACATGACGGCGGGACATGAAGCCCTGCTCTATGTCCTTGATCTTGAGGCCGTCCAGCATTAACATGTACTTCTTGTCTCTCTCCTCCTCATCCTGTAAGTGAAAATATGCATAAATTATCAATTATACTGCAAAGCTAATTATAAAATATATATATTCACTTAAAAAATCCTGTCTAATTACCTATGCATTGTCACATAATTGTACCTGTATTAACTTTTCTGAAACTAATATTTAATCAGTAGCCACAAGTCCTTCTCCCCAGTCTACTGATGTAATGGTAAATATAAAACTAAAACAACACCATAAAAAAGTCCCCCTTCTAAAGCTACACCGAGAAAATGTAAATACCTGTCAGAGAGCCATGCAGCAAGAGAAATGGGACCATGGATTGTAGGGAAACAGCGCTCACTCAGCTCTAAGTGAACTGATGATATTGATGTTCATCGCTATACAGTAGGGAATAGAATGATAGGTTAGAGAGAGGAGAGGAGGGGAGAGGAGGGGAGGGGAGAGGAGAAGAGAGAAGAGAAGAGGAGAGGAGGGGAGAGAAGAGGAGGGGAGGGGAGAGAAGAGGAGAGGAGGGGAGAGAAGAGGAGAGGAGGGGAGAGAAGAGGAGAGGAGAGGAGGGGAAAAAAGAGGAGAGGAGAGGATAGGAGAGGAGAGGAGACTCACCTTGAACCAAGAGAGTGACTCAGATGTTAGGACAAACCAGTAATCGCGTGAGCCGCCCTTCATGAAGCCCAGGTTGGAGATGGACATGAAACCCTTGCGGATCACCTGGTTCCCCAGCTTGCGACCGGACTTACTGGGGTTCTCACTTGACTGCTGGGCACTAAGAGTTGGGATGGGCAAGAAAAGGAAAAAATAATTAAGTTTCCATAATGCACCTGGATAAGTTACTTAAATATCAGTTACACAAATCTACTATATGTTTACAAGCAAAGTAAGACTTCCACTGTACCTTCTCATAATAAAATTGACTATCTTACTTTAAAAACATATCTGCTTTCTTCCGTGAGTTGATTTTTTCGTACATAATTTGATTCCAAAGTTTCAAGTCAGAGTATCATAAATATCTACGACACATTCAAGGAACCACCATTCAAGATGCTGCTTAACTCAAGTGTATTGTACTGTATTTCATTAACCATCACACACTAAATACTATCACCTGTCATAAGTGATCATAACTGGCAAGATTTTTTTTAAACAAATATCATCATCAGTACCATAAAAATGTGCAACTGAATGATTTTGTATAATATATCGTTTTACAATAATTCTCTGCATCAATATACATTCCTTGTTTTCTTTGAATGTGTCCTAAAATACACGGTTATTCATGAAAATGTTACTAGCACACAGGGAGAGTTAAGTTATTTACCCTCTATGCTCCACTTGCTTGCTACTCTTGGCAAGACTTCAAAACACTGAATGGCGAGTTTCATTCTCAGTTCACAAACACATCAACCTTGGGTATATCAGAAATTAATTTTGTTATTTGTTCAGGTAGTTTGTTTAACACTGCACATCGTCTTAAGTACTGTACACATGTTCTGGTAATATCTTTATGAATAACCTCATATTTTTGGTAGAGAAGAAAATAATAAATATCATAAATCTTTAGAAGTTATTCAAAACATACATAAACATTCAAGATTATTAAGTTCATTAACACCACATCAAATAAAACATAATTCACAATGGCTTATGAAAAAATTAACTCGTCAAAATAAACAAAAAATGCTCTTGTGCACTACAGTAGTCAGCTATCAAACTTCAGTTGCCTTAATCTGTAGGTCAACACATACAATACAGTACTACAGGCAGAGTTCCAAAGACAAATATGGAATCTCATAACATAACTGAACCAAGAAGAGATGTGAATGCTTACATCAACCCCTCCTGTGCCACAAACCAAAACATGTGGTAGTGTACAGTACATGCATACCTCACCCAACACTGTGTTAGTATGGATGTTTTGGTTTGTAGTAGAGAGGAGTTACAACAGTCCACTTGGATATTCAGACAAGTTGTCACTATGTACTTCTATCAAAAATACAAGTATCTACAGACATCTATTTTTAGTTTGAAAGTAACATAATGGATACCATTGTTATGGGAAGCTGCCATAAATTCAGTATATTCATAAACATCATAATATTATGAGTTATATCATAGTTTTATCACTGTCTGCCAGTGTGGTGATGTAACAAGAGGCTCAATGCCATAAGATGTGGTAAATAAAAGGAAAAGTTTGCATTCTTAATAAAAGGAGAAACGGATGCTGTATATTTTCCTACGGATAAATCGCTAAAGATGAAATGCATTTAGAGTTTGTCCGTGTCTGGAGAGCATAAAACGTGTGTCCATTAAAGTTTAACTCACATAGTGATTCTGATTTGCTACAACTGACCTTAACGGCATTACTAACCATCACAACTCATAGAGGTTAACTGCTTGTTGGCTGCTGTGAGTCATGCTGCTAAACTGCTTCATTCACTGACAATTTTATCTTTTCATAAATAACATGGTGATGAATTCCTCAACTAGGAGCTGAACTCACTCTGACACCAGCCATCAGTCAACCTCTCTGATGGTTATTAAGGTCATTAAAAGCAGACAGAGCTTAGGTGATGGGTCAATTAGTCACTACCTTCAATAAAAATCAGTGACAAGACAATACCCACCAAAGAAATGTTATACAATTTAGCTATTTTTAGTAGTCATGAGAAACGTTTGTACTTGACTAAACACCAAAGAATCCTTACAAAATACCTATAATGTTTCTCAGATTAATCACATCCTTATCTTTTGGTGCAAGAAGACATCAAACTAATGTAACTGTTGAATCAATAAATGAGCTAAACTGACACTGCTGCCAAAGACTGCAGGTATGTGAAGCAGGAGAATGTGACCCGTTGGAGGTCATACGATGAAAGCCAAAACACTACAGCACAGAGTTCCACGTTATGTATTTGTTCCCTCTAATTGGTATATACGTATTCCCTTTAAAGTCAATAAAATACAGCAGAACAAACCTGAATAAAAAGCTTGGAATGTCTACAGTTAACTACACAACAACAGTAAAAGTAAACATAACGCGCTACTTCTACAGATGACGAGCTATGGCATTACAAATCTACAAGACACATAAATACAAACGTTTGATTTGCCCTGCATCATGAAAAAAAGAGAATATGTAAGAATAAAACATTTAATGTCAAATAAAAGACAAAAAGTACAGGCCTACAGACATGACCAAGACATCTATCACATGCATCATAATTCACTATAACAGATACAAATAAATAAATAAACTAATACAAAAGTAAACTATTATATGATAAAAAGAGTTGCACAAATAAAATACTTTCAAAACAAAACTTGAAAAAAATTCTAGTCATCAAAGACAACACTATATTGAGTAGGTCATGAGAGCAATATTACTCAGTCAATTTTTATTTTATTTTTATTATTATTATTATTTTTTAGTCATAATCAATAATTCTGCAGTTGCTGTAGTGTTATATTAAGCTGTTTGTTTCCAGGACCAGAGGTGCTAAGGTAGGCTGCTTTTGAAAGTCCCAAGACACCAAACTGCTCCTCTTGAACCAAAGTGGGGATTATGCGTTCGTTCACTTTACATATTGTACTGTGCCGAGTGTGCTAGTTGAGGACGTGTGTGTGTGTGTGTGTGTGTGTGTGTGTGTGCGTGTGTACAGTAATAAGTTATGCACAGATAATATATTAAAAGATGTCATTACCAGAAACTGAAAAGACAAAAACAAACTTATAAGACACCACTACACATCTCACAATCCCTAACTGTACAGAATCTGGTCCATATCAACTCCGGATGACCCCTCACCCACGGAAAACACTTTTTTCATGTTACGACCCATCCACTTATTTCACCTACAAAAGGGACATCTATACATAATAGAGATGCCAAAATTAAATGGTTCCTTGGGTTATTTATATTCATCTGAGAGGAATCAACCACATAAAACAAATTAAAGCACTCGGTAGACACACATAAACAACATGGACCGTATCGGGTTCCCTCAACCCCAGTGGTGACCGAGATAAAAAAAAACAGCAAAGTCTCTTCTTCACAATCAATCATCTCCACCAACATGTGCAAAAAGAGATAGTGTTGACGATGCTCTAATTTCACAAGGGGAGTAAAAGGTACAACAAATCTATTGATAGGTAAAATCCATTACATTCGCTACCTGGAAGTTGCCGATCAGAATGCTGCCATTGTAATCCCCAGCTGGTAACTCTTATAACAGTCTGTTGTCATCCAAGAGACTGGTAATATTCCAAGGGCACAAACATGTAGCTCACTACAGATTGAACCCACCTCCATGTCTTAGTAGGAGCATTGTTCTTTATGTCAAGGCTACACCAACTAGAACTTAACCTGACTGATCCAGAATATCCAGGAATGCCAGCAGGTACATAACATGACCCAGAATATCCAGGACTACCAGTAGGTACATAACATGACCCAGAATATCCAGGACTACCAGTAGGTACATAACATGACCCAGAATATCCAGGACTACCAGTAGGTACATAACATGACCCAGAATATCCAGGACTACCAGTAGGTACATAACATGACCCAGAATATCCAGGACTGCCAGTAGGTAAACTTCCAGAGAGAATCAAAAGTAGTCATAACTCCCCAAAAATAGAAGGAAAACAGCTATCAGTGATGTCAAGTGAGCGGCCCAAGGAAGGTGCCATTGTACTACAGACCAAGATTTTACCTCACTCTTTTCTTGAGATATTATACTCAAAATTGTGACACCAAAAAATAAAAATAAATAAATAAAAATAAAATAAATAAATAAATAAATAAATAAAACCAGCATCTTCACTGCTTCTGCCTCTGGATATGAGTCCTAAAGGCCCATCATCAATCAGTTTCAGGAACTTGTGGAAAGTAACCCCCCCCCCCCAAAAAAAAATAAAATAACTAAATAAATAAATTTAATTAAATATTTTACAAATTCTATTACAAACATTTACTGATAGAAAACACCATTAGCACTTACCACAGTTAATTTATATCAAGGTGCAATCACTGCTAAAAATACAGTTAAAATGACACAATTCAACGAGAGGACACCATATATATTGGATTCATCTTTTCTGGATACTGGTAAACAATGTTATATGTACTAAGCACATGGACTTCAAATCATATGAAATTGTGTGCTAAGGGTGAGACACTTTCAATATGAGAGAGAGAAGTTTCCAAGTTTATTCCATGTAATATCAGTCCCTTTTGAATATACCAATAACAATGTCTCTTTTTTAATCAATAGTCCTCTTTTAATATCCCACCAACAATAATAGTCTCATCTATCAAGCTCCTGAACCTTTCCCACTATGATGAAGATGGCCAGGACCAAGTTAAAAGGTAAGTTCTGTTGTGGCATTCTTCTGTCATGTTCTGCTGTGTTCCCCATGTGGCATTTTACTATGGTGTTTGCTTGTGGTGTTCATTAAGGGTGTTCTACTAAAGTGTTTTCCAGCGAGGTTCTACTATGGAGTTCTCCAGTGGTGTTCTATGGTGTTCATTAGTGGCATTTACCTGTGGTGTTCTACTTCCAAAACCGGGCACATGACATCCCTCAACAAGGTATCCATCTCCAAACCACTTGAACAATTCAGAATCATAAGGAAATCACATTACAAACTGACCATAAAACAAAAGATCAGAGACTCCAGTTACTTGGTATATATCTGATTCTTTTCCCATAATTCTATTAAAATAAGATGAAAAATTAACAAGGTTTATCTTCAAGGTCAAGATGCACATCAGCCCCAAGGTAACTACTAGAGGAAGGCATCCCAGGAGGGGAGTAATGCATTCAGAGATTAAAAGAAATGTGATCACTATGGCTTCAATCAAAAGTCACATGCAGGGTGCACTTCTTAAGTCAAGGGCAATTGGCCCAGGTCAAGTAATGGGGATTGAGTAACACATGCAGGATTTTGTGAAAATGTGGATGCTGTGACATCACTTAAGGAAAATGAAGAGAAGATACACATCTACCCCATGGCAGGGGCCTTGATGTCAGACATAATACCCAAGATCAAGCAAGGCACAAAGATTGGTGTACACAAGATCTGGTAAGAAAGTTGATGCATCCTCAAAATCTGGTCAGATACATGTGTCTGAAGGTAAGACTCTTGGTGTTAGATATCCTCCTCTCAGGTAGCCAATTTAAGACTAATATTACATAATTACATAAAAGGTTTTATAAATTAAACCAAACTGATTATCACAGCTAAGATCAAATTCAGACCATGACAAGGATAAAAACATGGTACCAAAATATTATCATCTCCACTATCTCATACAATATTTTGAAGAAAGGAGATCACTAAAAATTTTCTGGAATTTTTTGTATACTAAACTTAAGTTTCATGTCATATAGAAATGGAATAAGCACATTCCATAAAGACCACCTCTAACGCTTCATTGCAAAATTCTATTCAACTTCTGCTTTATTACTGCCAGTCTCATCAAACACAGATCCCAAATATAAAAGCTCCTCTGCTACATCCAGGTTGTAGCGCTGTAACTCATTTTTAGATCTTCTCCAAATATTTTGATTGACAACCACTTCCATACCTTCTGGAGGTGGTTCAACTACATTACTTGAATGATTCATTGCACATTTCTGTGTTGGTTTGCCTCACACTTACATGAAGTAGTCACCAAGTGTTGATCAGAGTAAGAGTACGTATAAGGAAAGGAAGTGTACTGCCCTGTGCTACACCACCCCATATAGTATCTAGATTATTCCCAAATATCATTATAAATTAATTAAAAACAGAAGGCTTATACGGTAATGCTTACAAAGTTAATATCTACAGACAGATCCACAGAAATTGGGAGCGACACAAGATACCTCTTTTCAAAGTCACATAATAATAATAAGTTTCTATATGCAACATTAAGGGTCCATATCAGGTGTTAACCCTCTGAGTGCAATGAACAACTTTAAGGATTTTACTCTGGCTAACATTTTTATTAGCAATGAGAGGGTTAACAGTGGGCATGAAACTTTTTAACCTCTGTGAGCAGGTACGTAAAAATGTTTATAATGACTCCATGGGCCTAGAAGTCAGTGTCATACCAACTATGAACCCCTGAACTAACCATTAAACATGTACAAAAATTCAGGTGTTGAAGATACATTTGTCACTCCAACATCTAATTTTGTTAAATGTGTTTATCTTCAAAAGTTCAAAGTTGGCACGACATTTTTTGACCCAGACACACCAAAGACATATATGCACATTGGTTCCAAAAATAGTATCATGCCAACTTAAACCTCCTAATGTCACCCCTAAGAAGCATACAGGTTATGTAATGAGTCTAATTTGAATGCAGGTCACAAACAACCTTAATCTATGCCAACCATATCCGTCCATAACGCATACATGAGGCTATACAAATGATCTGATATTAGGGTCAGATGTAAACAAGGTGATCAAGAAAAGCAGCTGACTATGACTTCTATATCCATCCATAAAATAAGTTAGGAAGGTGATTATAGGCATGATATAAGAGACCTAATACAATAACAGTGTCATGAAGGGCAAGATGTTGCTTATAATATACAGTATACTGATATAAGTAGCAACTATGACAGTTATTGATATATAATCATACAATGACACTCACAAATGTCAGGAAAATTGCAAAATATGATCTATAATGTGTTCCTGTAACATTATATGGAAACCATGGCTTTCAAAATGTATGATCTGAGGTTCAAATTAAACATAGCTGCTGCTGGGGGTCTTGGGGTTATGATCTTTCACATTGTTTTATCTGAGGAGGTATTTATAAAGATTACCTGGGGATCTGGGCTGAGGGGCTATGCTCTCACACTTTACCTGGTACTGTTGAAAGCCAAGTTAACTCACATACGACTGTGGTACTGGGAAATTAATGTATACTTGTACAGTACATTACAAAGTCTCAAGTTTATAGGTGCTGACATTGGCATTTTGAACCATAACAATTTGAGTTAACTGATGAGAGGGTAATCTAGTCCTAATGAAGTTACAACTAGTGTTATGCCCTCATCCCTAATGATTAATGATAACATTACATCACATGAAATTCAAGGGATTAAAGTTGATGTAGACTTTTAGCTCTGCAGACATACTAGATTATAATGCCTTTACATAGAACACACACATGTTCCTGGAGCAGTATCCTGCCAACTATGAGTGCCGCATATAACCCTTTACACAGCATAATACTTGTTGCTACTGTAATAAGTATTCTATTTTAAAACAGGCAATATACTGTAATATACAATCTCATTCATCTCTTAGCTGACCTGGAAGTCCATGAAAAGGGAATTACAGCCATAGTGAATGAGAAGAGGGGCCATAAAGAGGTTGTATATTGAGGACAGCATCAAAGCCACAGGAGAGGTAATAATGACCAAGGCTGCTGTGGCCATTGTGAAATTCAAAGCGTGAATTCACATTGTAAATTATGTACGCAAGTTAACGACATGAGCAAGTGTGTGTAGATATTTCTGTGGTGTCTTATTCCTTCCCCATCATCACTTTCAACACATGTCTTCCACCATAATCATCAACAGAAGGAATTCAAGGACTCAACCAGCTTTTAGGAATGGGTCTTTAACATCATCTTTTACCCCCCCCCCCCATGCCCTCTACAATAACATGACTCATTTGGTAAAAAGAAAAAAACCTTCACTCTGGAATAATCCCCCCCTCCCTCCTCCCCAATTTTAAATAATTTAATGCGCAATTACCAACAACAACAATAGACAAGGGGGACAATGATACTGACAAGGGGAGAAAGTTATATAAAATCTGTTAAGAAAAGATGAACAACTTGCAAACACTTCTATGTAATGGTACAGTAACCTCAAACTAGGTGAGTCTTCTACCAGTAAGTGTAATGCAAAACTGATTATTTCACCTCATGAATGAAAAAAAAAAGTCTTCACTGATAAAAAAGCCAATTCCCTCATTTATGTAATTGTAATAAAAATACAAATATTCTTGCTTATCACATGCAGGTAGACTACAGTACTGTACACAAAACATGAATGGATTATGACCGTTAAGTTTCAATACACAACATCAGGCTTACGGAGACTCTCTCTATCTCTATGGTCAAAATGTCTTTAAAAACTATAATTTAATAAGGGGAGGGAGGGAGGGTGGGGGGAAGGGGGGAGGGGGACAATTATCATCAGTGCAATGTTTCCATATACTGTACTGTACTATAAAAATGGACCACAAGAAAATAAATAAAAGTAAAACTACCAAACATATTCCATCCTGGACTAAATACTGTTTGGGGGAACAGATGCACCAAACTTCATGAAATGTTCATTAATTAAATCATATAAATAAATAAAAAAAAAAAACAAGTGAGGGAAAGAATGTCTTGGTGTTGGTTCTGGCCACCCTGCACCATACTGGCCACTCTGCACCATACTGGCCACTCTGTACCATAATAACAAAGGGGTTGTAAGAATTAAACTTTTTCCTAATTGTGTTTTTCATGTTTGTTTGAGCTCACTTCCTTGTACTGTACTTACTGAGACAATCTTCCTTATCTCTAAGTAGTCTTGTTTTATGGTATAAGATGGTGACACACTGTACTGTACTTAATACACTTGTAAAGCCACCCAGACTAACAAGTGCATACAGTGAGATGTTGCTGCCGAGTTTGTATGACAAAAGTTTATGGCAACAAACTTTTTCTGGGTGACAAACAATACTGCCAAGATGGCTGGTAATGCAGGAGAGATTCTGCATCCACAGTTATTTTATTTGTATCCTTTTCTTTATTGGGAAAAATATATTAGAAATAACTGTAAAAACTGGAAAGGACTTTAATGATCCCGTCAGCACTTCTGCATCTGTTAACACACATTATCAATAGGGTAAGATTAACCAAAAAAGTTTACATGTAAAAATTTTCATTTATGACAATGAAGAAGTTTACTGTATATTCCATTTCTTCAACAACAGCACAGAACCTTTAGTGGCTCATCACCCAGTAAATAGTGATATGAGTAATTAAGGTCCAGTAGTTAACATACAAAATCATATTATGATTATGGGAAAGTTTCCAGGTAACTCCTTCAACATGAATGTGAGATCTTTAGCAGTGGTGGCAGTATTTTTTAAGCAGCTTTACCGACATTCAAAGCACTTCCCAATTAACCCATCAACTCAGCTGTGCCTACTTTGGTGACCTTAGCAACCATTACAATCCAACGTAGCTGATTGTTAAATGCAGTCAATATTTTACTCAATGTTTAATCAATAAATTGTGTTAGAATTAGCAACTGAAGAACAATTCCATTATATGAAAAAAGAGAAAATAATGGCAGTTAATACGGTTTTGTGTTGTGGCACACTAGTAATTACTGTCATCACCTTTTATGAATTGTAAGTTACTAAAGAGCCCCCAAAATAGGTACAGTTTTGCTGACAGGTCAATTCAGTTCTGGGTATCCAGTGAACTTGTTCCCAGGCAGGGAAAAGAATCCACTACCTGAGCACTTGAAGGATGGTTCTTTGCATGACCCAACCTGGCCACATGCAAATGTTGACCAATAACTACATTTGTCATTCACTTACGGTACTCATGCAATTTTTAGTCTGTACTGTATATCAAACTATATATTAGATGAACTACTTGATATGACATAACAGCACATTGGGTGGGTTGGGGGTGAGGAGGGGTTAAGGGAACAACGAGCACAATTAGTCAAACACAAAATAACAAATGGGAAGAAATCACCTTCTGAAATTGTCACTTTAAAGTTATAAAAAAAATCTATTTACCAAATCACAGGCTAAAACTATGTTGTCTACATCTAAGACATAATAGCATACTGCTACCATGTATTTCAATACACGACTCACATCTATAAGTGTAAATCCAACAAAAAAACAACCACGCTAGTTGGTGAAAAATGTGGTTTGTACAACTCGTTATACTGTAGATAAGCACAAATTACAAATGTTCCGTCTGAAGCTGTGAACACCCATGTTGTTATAAAAGAAGCATTCAAAACAAGAGACTGTAGTAGTGGTGGTAAGTAGAGCATAGAAGTTGGCATATCAGTAGAGTTAGCACTAGGGAGAAACAGGATGAACCATTGGTAGGTTGTGAGAAAAAAGCCGTAAGTGGTACTGGTTGTGGTACAGATATAAGCTAAAGGCAACCCGAGAAGTGGGTTAGAACACACCAGCATCACTCTAAATGCAGCTCGTAAGTTTGACTGCACGAGGAATAATAACTTACTCTGGTATATTTGACCCTCTGGAGCATTGCATAAACAAAGAAGTCTCGAAGTTAGCTCTGTGACCACTGTTCAACAACAATACATCTTAACATATTAATCACTTATACAAACCAGTAAACAGCCATTTTTTCTGATACAAAAATTAAAAAAATACATTGAAAAGTTAATATGGCTTTGCTGATCATAACCATCAGAAAAATGTATAGAGTACTTCACTGAGATGACTTTCACTTCACTTGAGAGACAAAACATAAGGGGGAGAGTTTTTAAAGTGAAGGCAGATCACACTAAGGCCTCAAACTTTACTGACATATAAGTACAATAATCATCATGACAATGGTAATAAATAGACACACTCCTTTCATGCCCTATCTTAGAAACCAATCAAATGCTTAATAGACACAAAAATAAACTTACAAGACAAAACTCTCAGTTAAGCATCAGATCATCTGAAAATATCTGACCTAAAAAGAACTGTCCATAAAATAAAAAATAAAAAAATTATATATACTGTGTGTATATATATATATATATATATATATATATATATATATATATATATAGTACTGTATATGTATATTATAAGACTGCATGAGAAACACCAGTTTGAGTTGCAAATACTAGCTATGTGTGTCGGCAACATTACTCAATAACAGCAAGAGCCATAATGCTCCCATCTCTTACAGTACGTATATGTATTCACCAGGTCGACCCTGAGACGGGCAATGATTTTAGGGCTGAGAGCTCAAAATTCAATGTGACAACTTCAAGAGACAGAGCTGATGACTTCTTGACCCTAAAAACATAGACCCTGCTTATATAATCTTGGTCAATACATTTTACAAGTGTATAAAAGGCAGTTTTCTTATTCTCAATTTCTGCTGGGTACGTATGAAAGATGTTTATTTAAAAAATCTATATTTCCTTTTTAATATGGCAAAATTTTACTCAAAATATCTGGTACTTTTTCTTTGCTATAATAATTTAAGTTATATGGAATTATAACATCAAGTTAAGGATATTAATGAGTTAAGTTTAGTTACATCAGATTACTTGTCAAATCTAAACCCGGATCATATCGGCCATAATTCGTACAAAACACTCACGGCAGGTCAACTACTGTACTGTGGGGTCATATTAATATATCACACAAGTCATATTGCAATACAGTATTAACTTGAAAAATAAAAAATAAAAATGAAAAGGTTTTCTCATTAATATCAATTTTAGTACTGTACTTGAGTTGTCAATGCCATACTGTATAAGAATTTATATACATTTCATTTTTTTATTACAAAATACAACACCTTGGTGGATGGCTAGACCACTCAGCTGGAAATTTTACAGCCCACAATTGAACTACTACTGAGGAAGCAATGTACCGGTATGTGTGATGCAGCCGTATACCCATCACTTTATTATCAAAATCCAACTATTTCACAAGACATTCCCCCCAATAAGATGCTCCACCTATGGGAACAAGATACTATACCAAACACCCAGAAACAATAAAGCTACAGGCATCAAAAGTGACCCTTAAGAAACAGGTTAATGCTGGGGATCACAGTTAATAGACAATGACATTTATTAAGTGACCAAATTGAAGAAATTTCACACAAAAATTCTATCCCATCTCTATTTCTTACCTCCCTACCCTTCCTCCTCCTCTTCCCCCACCCTGGGTTACTTCATTCACTGGGGTTAAACACTTTCTTATCATTATACAAGGCGATTCATTTGCTGGAAGCCTTGGAGTTTCACTAAAATAATCTCCAATTCATTTTCCTCTTTTTTGTTCATAAATGATGGATGTATTAGCGATACTCTGGGATTACCAGTGAGTGAATCACCCAGTACTTTGGGTAAGTTATAAAGCACGCACGCACGCATACACACACACATGCCAGTTACTTCACTCATGATATAAGCAAACCAGGAGTTATGATTCTAAACCCTTTGACGATGATGATCTAACCCCTTCAGGACTGTAGCTCTAGTTATCATTCAAAAAGAGTTACAGCTTAAACCATCATCATTAATGAATTATAGCTTAAGCCTTGTCCTTACAGGGTTATAGTTTAAACCATCGTTCTTAAAGGATAACAGCTTTAACCAGTGTGTTTTAAAAGATTTAGTTTAAACTATTATCCTTAAAGGATAATAGCTTAAACCATCATCCTTAAAGGATTATAACTTTAAAACTACTGTCCTTAAGACGCTTATAGTTTAAGTCACCATGCTTAATTAGTTATAGCACTTAAACCATCGTGCTTAAAGTGTTAAAACAAAACATTACAAGTGGGTACAGTAGTAAGACCCAAGTCTCCACATGTACTGTGACTGGGCATCTAAGTTTATGACTCAATGTTCTGGATAACACATGCAACATAAACCATTACCTAGACAGTGAACTATATAACATTACTTTACAATGAACTGATATGAAGCACTGAGAATCATTACAATGAGAAGGTTAATGACTCGATCTGTTGACTGTGAATGTCAGTTCAAGATACAAGCAACTGTGTGAAGTATAATGTCTTGGTGTATTAATACTCTCCTGTTCCTTTCTATACTTCTTATATTTTTCTCTACTATTCCCCCTATTCTTTGAGAGTTTCTGTACTCCTTGACCCACGCTAGAAAATGGAGGAAGAGGAATCAAGGGAATGGATAGTAATACAGTATTCATACTGCTTTTCAATATACCTATCATCACATATTACAAAATTTAAACTAACAACCTCTACACAATATCCCACAAAGTTTGGGGTGGCGACCTCTAGGGGCTCAAGGACTAGCTTACCCCGGAGCCCTGACGTGGTTGGGGGTCAGCTCAGCACACACAGCACAATGACTGCCCAATAACCCACACAACTGAGCCTTAAGTTCTATTGGGTTGGGGGTTCAGGGGTCAGATTCCCAAAGGTTCATATGGTGAATATTCCTCATAACTAATTAAGTAAATATGCACCTAAATGGTTAACCCAAAAATATTAATAAAAGTTATATTGAGACTACTTTAACTAGATATGTTCACCTAGCAGTTATAAGAAAAAATTAATGTACAGTACAGATTTTTTTTTGAAAAAGATTCACTAACATAATTTCAAACACTGTACGTTAAATATGGATTGCCCTAAGACTACCAAACATTTCTCTTCTTCCTAAAACATCCCCAAGATTAATTCAAATTGTTTAAATCCAAAGATCATTTGTTCAAATTGTTTTATATATTCATTCCAAATTCTTGAACCAGAAATCATCTCTATCTCTGGTTGTTATAGCGGTCATTTTTACTTTGAATAAATTATATTCACAGTACATAGAGTTGCTCAACCTGAATTAACTTTTGTTTTACAATTTATGTTTTACAATAACTTGTTTCCGTTGGTCCAGCAGTTCTTGAGAAAAGAACTCTGAGAGTCAGAGCATATCTCATTTAACAGACCACTCACTCACTCACTTTAGTATCACTTAGTCATATAACTAGCACTGTCATTCCTCCGACACAACCCTGACAGATGCAGATTCTTACACAAAACTGACCATGACAATTATTTCAACTACAATTTTGTTTCTCACAAAAAATAATTCGCACAAAAACTTGAATTACTATTACCAAGAAAACCTATGAAAATATTAAAAATCTTACTAGGTTAAAACAAATGACAGCAACAACATTTTAGGCTGAATAAAGTTCAGTTGGATGATCATATTGGGATAGTGGTAAGTGTTTAATTTAATTGGTTTCACTGTGAAGGATAGCTATAGCATTCATAACAAATTGATTGTTAATTCTTTGATAACAATTAATCATGTTCCTATTTCACTTCAATAACTCTTCAAAATCTAATGCTTCACAACATTTACAATAACATGACTCTGGCCATCATTTAAACTGCAGTGAAATACGGCTTGAGAGGAAAGGGAGCCATCTGACACTGTTCTATACCATGTGTGCAATATCCGTGAGCATACACCAAACACACTAACTCCTGCTCTCTAGTGATTACACACCCGTCATCTATAAACCTCTTACACTTCACGAATCTGGTATTGTTTGCCTTTGTCCTTTTGATATTTTTTTTTTTTTTTTACAATGGTGAGCGACCCTGTGAAACTAAGAACCAAACTATATGTGATTTATTATTTACTTTCCCCCAAATGTATCCAAGGTAGTTAACGATGATAGACAGCCATTTATTATTACAGCTGTACTTACATTTAATAACAGCTTAAAGACATTTCTATTAACTGTACCCATGCTAATTAATGATAAGTCAGCAGTTTATTATTACAGAAGAGTGTATTTAACTTTAATTACAATAACTGTATAGGTAAAGCCACACAAGGGATGAACTATTTTGCAAAAGTAATTAAGGTTTGAAAATCCTGTAATACCCAGACACGACTGTCGTAAACGGCACCCACAGAAATCAGTACATAGACGTTTAGTTAATGCGACATCACACGTTTGTTTATCTTGCCCGGTAATGAATGAACAAAAAAAGGGCCTCGGGTGTTTTGTTTCGGACAAAAGAGGGACAATTATATTTATGACTATTCATACTCAGTAACCTGGAATGCTTCGATGCACAAACAATAAAAAGGAGAACAAAACCAATAAATGATAATAATACAGTAATAAAAAATACTTTCCATGCATAAAATTACCCAAAATTGAAGACTATTTGTGAAGTATTAAAGGACTTTCTTACTCTTACACAAACATTCAGAATATCTCAACTTCTAATACTGGGGACGAGTCATGGAGTGCAATAGTTTCCTCGACTGGTAAATAAAAATAAAATCTGATGAAAGAAAAGTGTCCAATAACTTAAACACAACAAAAACTGACAAGTGACATTTGGTGCATAAATTTAACTATAGACCAAATACATAATCCAGGTTTATACTTACTTGGCAAATCCAATAAAGTCTTCATGGTTGGTGTTCATGTAGGCTAATTCACACTCGTTCAGTAGGAGAATATTTTCTTTAACTATCTGCTCCCGTTCTCTGATATGTGTAGTGATGATGCGTTCTGTTTCTTCCTGAAGTCTTGGGTACCGTGACATCTGTTGGAGAAATCAAAGTAAAATACACATTCACAGTCATCTGAAACTCAACATTAGCACTTGAATGATGCCAAGTGAAAAGGAAACCGCTTTATAATACTATACAGTAAACCCCCGCTTTACGTGGTTTCACTTTACGCGTTTCCACGTTTACGCGTTACCCTGCCGAAACCGGAATGCTCACTTTCCGCGGTGTGTGTACCCTTTTACGCGGAGAGCGGCACGAGCAGGGTGCGCACAAGTCAGTGATAGTGATAATGATAGTGAGGATATGGACTTATATGGACTTTGAGGGGTTTGACAAAGAGGCCCTGCAAGCCTCTGTGGTGGATAGTGAAGCAATTGATACAAGTGATACAGGTGAGGGCCAATAATCTGCCCTCTGCCTCGGAACCAACCCCCCATCCCCGTGTGCCCAGCCATCTTTTCTACTTATGAAAAGTGTTAAAAAACCTAATATTATTGATATTTCTCTTAATTATTAATTGTGTGTGCATACCATCATAAAATTAAGAAGTTATTTTTACTACAACGTAGGCATTGTGTCTGAAAAAGTGGAGTTTGGGGGTCGGCCCGGTCTCTATTTCAATTAATCCCTTATGTTATGTTGTTCACTTTACGCGTTTCTCACTTTACGCGGGCCGCCGTGGGTTCAACTGACCGCGTAAAGCGAGGGTTCACTGTACTCTGATTTAAGTAATTAAGTAAATCACCATCTAGATGATACGGTCACAAGGGAATTACTGTACATGTACCAACTGTACTGTATGTTACACCCAAATCTCTACTTTGTTCCCATGTATCTGAACAAGCTTGCTGAAGCTGAATTTGGTAAGACAGTAAAATTACTGGACCTAAAGCCTGTGACAGTATCATGTGAGGAGCTGAGAGCAAGGGAGAGGGAAGAGCATGAAGCGCGACTCCTGGACCACTGCTAAGATGTCATTTGTTTATTACATGTACTATGTTACATCCAATTACTCCCACACAGATTCATCCACCTGCCAATATATGACATCTCACTTTCTCTGGGCCTGCTCTCCAGATCAGAGCCTCCAGCTTGTCCACTTTAAACAAGTGTTTGCCTTTCTTGACTGTTCCATCTCCTTTGTGCCCCTTCATAATCCTACTTACAATATATCAGTTGCCTTCTCATCACACTATCCCCTTCAACTAACTTGTATACACTCTCTATGGTACCATCTAACATCAACCCTACATATGAACCACCTTACCAGATTTCTCATGCCCTGAAAAAATTTTCTGCCTCCTGGTGTCCAAAATTACTGGTCAGACCTCCTCCTAAAATCATGCCCCAAAACCTCTCTATTATCTCCTTTTTTTTTTTCTCCTCCTCCTTCTCTCAAGCTTTATTTTCCTTTCCTTTGTTTTTAAAATTGGTTCCCGTTCTAATGGCCTATACAGTATTTCGGTAAGCCAGAAATATTTTAAGACCTGGTCTTTCTCCAATCTCACTGTGTGACACTACAATATATATCTCTGTCTTTCTCAACCATCCTCTTCTAAATATAGTACATTACTACAAGGTGTTTGATAGGTTGTGCATCATAGGATAATTAATGTTCCTCTCTCTCTTTCTCTCTTTTTCAAGTAAGGGGATCATATATCAATGAATATTGATCAATGAGGACCAACCAAATGGCCACCAAGGTCTCCTAACCTTGCACCTCATGATTTCTTTCTCTGGGGGTCACCTAAAATCTGTTGTTTATCATTCCAAAAACCATTTAGGTGACCCCAGAGGAAGAAATTGAGAGGTGTGGGGTCCAGAGGTCTCGATGGTCATTCGATTGGTCATCATCATCCAATCTTTGATTTGTCTTGATCCCTTCACATGAACATGGCCATAAAACATTCATGGTAAATCCTATCCAATTAAGTCTTGAAAAGCGCAATGGATCACTGGGTCAGTTTATTAGCAGACATGACTTTGACCTTTGAACCCTTGACACTCTTGGGTTTGGGTAGCACTCTCCTGCAAGACACTCGGGGTCTGGCCTGTTACTCACTGCACCACACGAGAGATAATTGTACGTAACGAGTCAGAGCAACCTTGCTATTTGAGATAAAAAAGGTGGGATTTGTTGAATTAGCATTGAAAATAAATTATCTACAAACAGTTTTGTATGAGCAATCACGATAAAATAATTATTTCTATACGTAAGCGCAAGTAGAACAAAATTTTGTTTATGCTTAATGAAAATGTTTATACATCACTTTATACCTTCATTATTTCATGTTATAAAGCATACATATTAAGGATAAAACAGTTATAGAAGAAAAGTTGTGAAAAAATTAATATTTCATCACAGAGAAGCAACAGGAGGCACCACACTACAGTATCACCATGTAGTTCAATCTCCTTGCTCTTTTTACATTCTCCCACCCCTCCACCCTAACAACACGAGGCATGGTTCAAACTCTCACAACAGTGTTATAAATATAAATGAAATCAGCACAAGCCGCAAGAAAATGAGTGGAAAATGTGGGTCAACGTTATATCCTGGGTCCTTTAAACACACTGACGTTGCCAAATGTGTATCTTGAGTGTCTAACCTTCATATGCAAACATAAATTCTATTTATTTAAATTATTTACTCCATACGGAAATTTGCGCAATAAAACCCTAAAGCAATAATTTAGATCACATGCATTTTTGCATATGAAAACCCCAATAGTGTTAATAATGTTGATGGTACTGATGATGGATACCAAGTTTAAGATGCATTTAATAAAAATTGAACTGAGGCAATGTAACAAGAACAACAACCAGTCCTTTATCTTGAGAGAAGCTTAACCGATATAAAAAGAACAAGTTGGTCCTCCGTATTCCGGTTAATGAAGAAGTTTTTAAAAATACTAACAGGCAGAACTTCATGCTACAATAATGCAAGTCATGGGTCTCCTGCTACAGATATATCCAGCTGAGAGAGAGGGAAAGGTTAAGTTATTTATCATAAGGAGGAATAGAACAAATAAGAACCATTAAGTTGACAAACACCCGACTCTGGTCATTGTAGAAAGGTCACATATCAAGAAATGCTAAATACAATACCATCCCAACTCTTACCTACACTAACACTCCTATTAAGTCTCATTAAAACAGAACTTTTTCTGCTGCAAAGACTTGACATCTATAGACAGACACACACACATGCACAAATTGGTCATGCATGAAGCATTCTCATTGCATAGTCACAATGTTTCATTTTGAGGGAAACATTGTACAAATGGTATTGTTATGTGCCACATTGGGCAGATGACTGATTAAAATCTATGACCACAAATGAAGAGTACTCAATGACTTAATTCATCTAGATGTTGTCTTCGTTCTTTACACTCAATTTCCAGACTTGTGGTGGATGGCAAAAACTTCCCCCTTGCAATATTCACAACAAAAGTTTGCCACAAAAATGAGCCAAAAGGTTGAGCAAAAATGTAACAAAACCTCAAAAAGAGCAAAATATTGGTCACAGTGGCTTACTTGTGATGTGGTGTTGTTCTACTAATCAACTTGTACCTGCTTGAGAAGTATCAAGTTTGTATGGCTTCTAGTTGTGAACAAGGTCATGTCACACGTACATAAAGTATGGGTGGAAAGAGACTGATGGACAAGAGTAATATAAGCCCCTTCTGTGTTTACTGTGAGGCATAACTGTATATAGCATCAGCATCCTTGCATGAAAAGATCAGGAATGCACAAAGAACTGCACAAACAGTATGGACAAGTTTATACTGCTACCATCCCCATTATTGGGGTTCTTAAGGTGAAGAAAGAAATTTATTTAAGTAGACAGGAAAAAAATCCAGTGCAGAGCTGTAGATCCCATGGGGCATTGTTTAGCAACAGTGACCTCGTCCTTCGATCCCCAAGAAAAGCATATGCACATGTATATGTGGTGATATTGCTAACCAAGCTTCAATCACTTTATCCACAATTGTAAGTGTAGTCGAGATGACCTGTTTCAGGTTAATACAAATGCCTGCACACAATACTCCTTGGTTAAAACTACCCAAGTAGTAAAAAGCTTAAGAATTTTTGGAGGTGTATGCAATAAGAAAACTTATTACATTGTAAAATAAAAGGAGTAAGTAAAGGCAGGTGTTTACTATATGTTTAGGTAGAAGAGAGAGAGAATATACAGAGACCGAGTGTCAGGGCGCTCGTCTTGTCTAATGAAAGTCATTAAACAAACAGGACAAACTACAGCGACTCTGAGTAATGAAACTAATACAAATGTTATTAAAGACTAGACTAACTAAGCTCACTTAACAGTTTTTCTACTTATATTAAAAAAAAGTGGTTGACTTTATGAATATGCAATAACTAATATGATAATCCTAATCCATTTGTTGTTGTTTTAAACTGGTGTAAGTTCAAAATTCTGTTTATTTAGTTTTTTATGAGATTTGAAGTGTCAGGAGAAAATTGGTTAGTTGGCCACTCCATACAGGGAGACAATAGTTCCCAGAGGAGTGATTCATCAAAGATGTTGTGGTCAAGCTTCATGAACCAAATTCACCTTTTTTTTTTGTATGGTGTGAGCACCAAGTGTACATACATGGACATGGTGTTTTTCTTGAACTTTATACTGTATGTATGTGCGAATTAGCAAGCATGCATGTGCACCTATGATTATATCAATAAATGGAATCATCCACTACAAATCGACTAAAATCCTTAATTACCTTAAGGGCGCAGTTTCGGAAAACATTTGTGAGTTCCTGAACAACAAGGTCAACGCACTTAATGCTTGGTTCCTTCAGTCGAGCAATCTGTCCTTTAACAATGGCATCAAATGCCATGTCAGGAGTAAACAAGCCCACTCGAATACCATGAATATTTCTGATGGCAAAAGCAATTTCTCTGCGGAGTTCTTTCTCATCAAATTCCATGCGAACAATCTCATACGGGAAACGCTCATGAAAAAGGCGATTGATCTTGGCACCTCCTGAAAGCTCGTTGGTGTTGATTAGGGTTGAGCCGGATCCTTCAATAGCTCGCTCAAAGTCATTTTGAAGCTGTTGAATCATCCTGAAATATAGATTGAACAATTACAGTACACTTGTATTTACAAACTATATTCAGCAGATATTTCACTGTGTATATGGAGGGTCAGAAGCTAAATCTTTTCAAGGAGTGAAACAGCTTAAAAAAAAAAACCTGGATACCAACATCAGTTATACAACATGAATTAATTGCACAAACACTGCTTAAAAATGTATGTTTACTTTATATTCCTGAGAATCTTCTTTTGTAACATCCCATGTGGTATATATTAATTATTTCATCCCGTGGATTTGGATGATAAAAGTAATGTTCAGAAACAAAATAATTTTCAAAGGTGAGCTGCAGAAGGAGCCAATGTCTACATATCTATTAAATTTGCAAAAATTTCCATCAGCCTTGATACAAAAATATTATTCAACTTCTATGTATGACAGTGAAAAAACGACAGGTGATAGAGGTAAAAAATGACAGGTGATTGAGGTAAAAAAAGAAAAAACAATAATAATACACCTGTCAACCAGTAATAAGTGAAGACTCTGTAAGAGATAACAGAGGTAAACAACTTACTGTAACATGGCTTTTGTTTTGATGGATGGATCGTCTGGGCGAAAATTTTTGTATTGATCCACCTCTTTTTCCATTGTCAATAACTGTTTCTGGAGTTTATCACGAAGACTTGGTAAAGTTTCTCTAATGTGGTTGGTGAGCTGCTGGTTGAGAACACGCTGCAGGTACGGGGTTCCCATGCGGTCAGCAACGTGACGGTAGGATGGGTGACCCAGGAAAAATTTTCTTTCAGCTGCCATTGCAGCCTTAATGTCCTTCCTTCCATCAATATCCTAGAAGAAATTAATATATATTTGAAATTTACTGTTATTAAATGAACTTAAAATTAATATAAAGCAAAACATGAACAAGATCAGCTGGAACAAAGTTAAATCTCCCCAAAACTTAAATATAAACACTGTTGAGCCTCACATAATTATTGAGTAACACAGTCATTCAACCTAATACAAGTACAGTATATGGGGGCAATAACCTTCATACAAACATAACACAACCTGTTTCATAATTATACCACGAGTGGTAAACAGGAAATCCATACAAAGATTAATTATCCGTTGGAACAAAGACAAGAAGAAAGACTTTTAAAAAATGCTTTGAAGAATCCCAGCAACTTTCACATTCATGTGTTTGGTGACGACTTCAACCAACGTCCCCAACATAGTTTCCTAAATTGACACTTAAGAAGATCAAACACCTCTACTACTGGGGAGGATTTAAAACATGGTGTGTAATGTCTGGATGCACTTAATATGTAAATTGTGTAAATATCTGGTCTCCTAGTCACTTAAGTATAATACAGTATATATAATTACTTATTGGAAAGGGATATGGTTGAATTACTAACTGAATCAAGTGAGCACCAGGGTTTCCATAGATAAATAGATTATACAGATTGATAAATAGGTAATTAACTGACCACAGCAATACAAGAATACAATTAGAGAACATCGTGTGAAGACCTGAGAATCCAGATTTATTCAATACATTACAATACCATGAATAAAAGAAACATCACAAGAAGACAAGTACAGAATAAATTTTCAAGTAGGGCCTTGACAAGTTTCTCATCAACCAGGATGTAGCAGTTAAGTTTCCTACCACCATAATGTGAGACCATTTATCAGACATGAATGGATCAATCTCATGAAGTGGGCAGGTCTCCCTCTCAATGTACTGTATATGACTTCCCCTTTCATTAAAATAAACAAATAAAAAGGACTTAATTTTTTTTTAATTCATCCAAATCCTCTAACTTAAACACAACCAATTAAAGGAATGTAATAATTTTGTATCAACCTGAAGATTAGCCACCCCAGCTTATTTCACCAGATGACTAAAAAAAACAACAATATCTGGGAGGTTAGGTTATTAATATTATGCTTAGGCAGCCAATCTTCAGGTTATCCAAAGTTTCACATGCCTAGAGAAAGATATGAGGCAGCTGGAAGGATGAAAGACCACAGGTACAAATTAATATACTGGTACAGTGATGAGAATATTAGTCATCATACGGGCTACAGTATAGTACAGTATATAGAATGTTAACATTTTTGTAGATCGTCTGTGAGAAGTGGCAGGAAATTTCTTCAGAGGAATAATATACAGTATTGTGTTGGAGCCATCAGAGGTGAGAGTGATGGGTAGCTATGGGGCTTGAATGAAAGAAATTTACAAGATGTAATGGTGCCCTTTTCCCATCTTTCTCTCTCCTCCTTTTTCATCTTTATTCCCCAAGTCATTAATTCCTGTTTGGTATTTTACTCAGGTTAGATTCTTGAGTCTCTGAGGTAACAGCATCATATATTTTCAAACCTTTAGAAGACAGGAGAGAGACAGAAAAAGAGAGAAAATGGCAAGGGGTGTATGGAGGAGCTGCTGCTCTATTAACACACACATACTGTACTGAAAATTACTCACACTGTACTAACTCACCTACTACATGATAAGGATACAGTACCACATATCATAAATACAAAGATACGGAGACATACAAGTTCCGTAAAGATTCTCACCTTCTGAGATCTATTAACAACGCCCACGTAGCCTCTCCGTAGGGGGAGGAGTTTGTTTTCTAAAACATCCCGAGCATCTGTTCCGTCGTCCATCAAGTCTAGCTTTGTGATGACACCAATAGTTCGGATACCTGTAGGGGAGACAGAAATTAAAAATATTGCACATAAACTGAATCGGGAAATGTACTCGTGTATCACTAAACCTCTAGAAACAGATGTTCAACTTTCACATTTAATCTTAAAACTGAAACTGGATCCTCTTAAGCCCTGTTAGGATCAGTCAGGGCAGTTACAGCACACGAGTACTCAAACTTTGGTACACAGGAAGAAAGAGTAGCTAGCTTTGTACTCCACTGCTTTTCACTTCCAAGCTGTTAAGTCAAGCACCCATTAACAGCTGAAGACCAAGACATATTATCCAAGTTATGTGTACGGAGATAATTGTGTACAAACTGTCAAGATAAGTGTAGTGTAGTGGTTACTTACCATCAGGATCAGCATCTTTGGATAATTTAAGAGCATCACTGTTGGCTAAATCTGAGTTGGCAGGTGATACAGCCAAGATCAGACAACTGTCTTTGGTAATGTAGGTCATGATCATGTTGCGGATCTGTTGCTCGATGTCTGGTGGCTGATCACCCAAGGGCACTTTCGTCAAACCCGGCAAGTCAATAAGCGTCAAGTTTAGCACTGTAAAGAGAACAGGAAACTGTATTTACCAATGTCAAATTTTCAACATCCTAATTATATACGGCACAGGTACAAAGGATAATGAAGCCAGACTCACTTTGGTTACTCATTAATTCACAATGGGTTAATAAAAATTTACTTGACAATATAAAATAAGAATCATTTATCTAAAATGGCAAGTTATAAAAATGACACTGATATATTATTTAGATAACATACTATACTATAAAATGCTGTGTCATGTATTGAGTGATTGGACAATAATTTGGCTAAAATCTAATCAATGGCAAAAATGGCAAATCTTTCAAAACTGCTGCATCATTCCACCATTCCCACACTATAATGTAAACATACCGTTCCTAACATAACTTAAGAAACTGATGAGACCTTCTGAGTACAGTACCTACTGGTGTAACGGTCAAAATAACAAGCACCTTTCCATAAAAACAGTTAAGTTGAAACTATTTATTGAATGAAGTAACATTCATATTACAAGACAATAGTTGTACTTCATTGTTTTCATCCCCAGGGACCATGGTGCTGTACAGCCTAGTAAGCCTGTGGTGATCAGGTCAACCTACACAACCACATAATATCCCAAGAAAGTAAAAGTTGTGTTGTGTAAAGAATGGAGCAGAGTTTTTCAGTCAGGTTGGATATGTTGACACTTGAGACAACAGGGAGAGTAAGATTACTAGAGTGTATAATTCACAAGTACAGTAGATGGTAGGAGGGAGAGAGACCTTAAGAGATAGAAGTGATGAAGATAAATATTCAGTAAAATTGTGGTACAAATTTACAATTGGTTCAGCATGTACAGTAGCTAAAGCAACTACAGTATCTGTGCAGGTGAGGGTCAATATGCTTCAAAACTTTATGTGTGACTAGTGACAGCCCTCATATACCAAAATTTATTGTCCATGGTCTCATATTGTTTCCCACAAAATATGCACTGATAGTTGTTTTAGCTGCAATACAGTGTATAGACAATGCAGATGTACAGTGCAATAAAAGTAATGTCTTGAATTTTGTACACTTAATAAATTACCTCTAAAGTTTAAGGCATATATACAGTAATAGTAATAGCTCCTTTAGCCAGAATCCCTCAGACCCGAAACTCTCTGATAGCCGGAATTGGCATTTTCTGGAAAATTCCGGATATTTTTCAGGGTTCGAGAGATGATGTAATGCACAATTTCAGGTACTTCTAAGAATATTTTTCCATTACCCGGATATCACCTGCAGTTCCATCAAAGTTCTTATTAACCCCCCCCCCCCTAAATCCACTCCTCTACAAGGCTGTCTGTACTTTAAGGTAGTGAATGGTGGTAGGTAGTGGTAGATAGTGGTAGGTGGTGTAGTATGGTAGTGGTGATATTATGGTGGTAATAATACTGTACTGTAAAAAGTATAGTACTATTTGGTGATGGTGGTAATCAGTGTACTGTAATAGTATTAAATACTAGTAGTGGTAGATGAAGTAGTATGGTAGTGGTAAAATGGCAGTAATAGTGGTACACGAAGTATTATGGTAGCAGTGGTGGTAGAAAATGTAATATAGTGATAGCAAATGGTGTAGTATGGTAGTAATCAATTGGTAGCAGGCAATGTAGTAATCAATGGTAGTGCGTGGTAGGAATATGGTAATGGTAAGAGTCATGGTTTCAGGTGAACTTCAGATCATGGGGCAATGGGGGTGAAAAACATGGCAGTGAGCAATGGAGCTGTGAAGGAAGAAGAGGCGAGGAGAGGGAGGGGAGGAGAAGGGAGAGAGGGGGAGGGAGAAGGGAGGGGGAGGGAAGAAGGGAGAAAGGGCGAGGAGGAGGGCGAGGGGCGAGGGAGGAGGGCGAGAGGGAAAGGGCGAGGGAGAGGGAGGGAGGAGGAAGGGAGGGAGGGAGGAGGGAGGAGGAGGAGGAGGAGGAGGAAGAAGGAGGAGAGAGGGAAGGAGGGGAGGAAAGGAGGAGGGAGGAGGTGGGGAGGAAGAAGCGAGGAGGAAGGAACCAACGAAGGAAGGAGGGAGGGTGGGAGGGATGGATGGGGGAAGGAAGAAGGGAGGGAGGGGGGAAGGAATTAGGGATGAAAAGGAGGTAAAGTAGGAGAGGAGGGAAGATGGATGGATTAGGGAGAAAAAGAGGGAAAATGGGAGGGAAGGTAGGAGGGAAAGGAGGGAAGGGCGGGAGGGACTACAGGACTCCCACGCAGGCGGACCGACCAAGTTGCCATTGATTATCGGGCAGCTGTGAGTTGAACCACAGTGGAACACCTCAACCCTCTCCTCCACACACTCCCTCCACATACAGACACAACACAACACACACAACACTAACACACACCCTCCACATACAGACACACAACACAACACACACAACACTAACACACACCCTCCACATACAGACACACAACACAACACACACAACACTAACACAAACCTCCCACACACACAACATACAACATACAGACACACAACACAACACACACAACAGAACAAACTTCGGACACAACACACACACACATACAAATACAACAAACATGCAGACATACATACACTATACGTAACTTTAGCTCTGTGTGTGTGTGTGTGTGTGTTATGAGTGAGTTTTATCTTCTTATCTGTTAACGCTGTCTGACTCTCACACACACTCCTCTCTCTCTCTCTCTCTCTCTCTCTCTCTCTCTCTACGGGGAATGGAGTAAACGGAGAAGTTAGCAAGGGTAAGAAAAAGGGAAGAGGGGGAGGAGGAATAAACAAAAAGCAGAAAAAATCAAGAAGAGGCGGAGGAGGATAAATGGAAGGGAGGGATAGAGGAGGACTGTGTATACTGAATTATCTATCTAGCGTGATAATCTGGCCAACGTATGACCAGACACAACCTTACCTTACCTGATCTGACCTAAGCTAACCTATTCCCTTACTAACAACCGACCACATATATCAAGACGGTAAGGGGAAGGACATCATTCACACAGACCTAGACTTAACCAATAGGTGTGTGTGTGTGGGGGAGGGACACAGATCCGGGCTGGCAATTTGGGTTCAGTTGAGGACTAGCAGCAGCCCGTGTGTGACCTTGGAATCAGTGTGTTACAAATTAGCGTACAATGACGAGTGTCTGACGGTGGAAAACAAAACAAAAAAACAAGATACTGATGGTCAAATCCACCTCCTCCTGCTCCTCCTCTCACGCCACAGTCCATGGAGGTGCCGTAATACTGTTTATACCCGTCCGCCATCTTTATTTACAGTACACCAAGTCTAATGGACACACAAAAACACACACCATTCATGTACACCGTTTGTCCCCACTGACGTGATATTCTGATGTGATGATGTTATAAAGTAAGGATGGTTACTATTTTTATTACAGATCATATGACTCACCCTCTCTCAGGCAGACATGCAGGTACACACGCACACACAGACACACACGAGAGAAATCACAATACAGTCTCAATGGTTAACTCTCCTCCCGACAGCCCCTGTGTGTGCGTGTGTCCTGTCAGCCTTAGATAAAAAAAATCATCGTGGTTTGTCAGAAATGTTTGTTGGGCTAGAATAGATAAACCAAACTTAACCTGCCCTGCCCTAACCTAACGTAACTTAACCTGCCCTGCCCTGCCCTAACGTAACTTAACCTGCCTTGCCTTAACCCAAACTAACTTAACCTGCCCTGCCCTAACCTGCCTTAACCCACACTAACTTAACCTGCCCTGCCCTAACCCACACTAACTTAACCTACCCTAACCCCTCTTAACTTATAACCCCACCTAACCTACCTTACCTGACCTGACTGGTAGAAGTCTTCCCCGCTTGCCCTGTACTATAAGGTTGATCCTAATGGCAACAAGCGTATGTGAGGTTGTCCTTGGTTGAATCGGCTTACTGTTTACTTGTTTGTATACCTACACTTTGTACGTACACTCTCATGCAAAACTGATGAACACACGAAAGAATAGATAGATAGATAGATAGATAGATAGATAGATAGAAGGAAGGATGGATATATTCCCACAAGCTCACAATGGTTGCAAGTCAAGAGACACGCTGACACACTACCCCTCCCACCCGCTTCCCACACTTCTCCAAGGCAACACTACTACGCTCCCCAGTACCATGACGACATACTACCCTCCCCTCCCCTACCCACTGCTACGTTCCCATCCCTTCTCTCTGACACCACAAAACTCTTAACCGTGTCCTCGTGGTTCGCATGACGCAACGATTACATGAGAGAGAGAGAGAGATCTGTAATAATGAGAGGATCGCCAACACTCACTCACCTGTCTGTATTGGTGGTAAGAGTACAGGTAAGAAATGACACAAAAAATCTCTCTCTCTCTCTCTCTCTCTCTCTCACACACAGCCAACAAGGACATACAGATCGTCATCACACAAGAGAATCTCAGGAGCTGGCTGTAGGAGGCGGCGGCGACGGCAGCGAGGGACATCCGACACCCCAACCAATGGCCCGTCACCACCACTCAACATTTTTTTCTTCCTCCTCCTCCTCCTCCACACACACACACACTTTCTCTCTTAACCAGTAACAATATCACCTCATATCCTGACCACCGCTAACACTCACCTGGGTGTGTGTGTGTGAAGTTTTAAAGTTATAATTTGTAGTTAGTCATGTGAAAACGACAGCAGGTGGAAGGGTTGTGGATGAGTCAGCCAGGTGCGAGAGAGATTTAGGAGTAATGATAAGTAGGAAACTTAAGCCAAGTAAACAATGTGTTTTTGCTCGTAACAAGGCTAATAAAGTACTTGGGTTCATACAAAGGAGTGTTAGTTACAAGACTAGCGAGGTCATCCTAAAACTGTATAATGCTCTTGTGAGACCACACCTGGGTTACGCAGTTCAGTTCTGGTCACCGTATTACAGAATGGATATAGAATCATTGGAAAGAATTCAGAGGAGAATGACAAGACTAATCCCGGCCATTAGGAACCTTGAGTATAGAGACAGGTTAAAGCATCTTAATTTGCACTCCCTCGAGAGACGTAGAGCGAGGGGCGACCTGATAGAGGTGTATAAGTGGAAGTCAGGGCAAAACAAAGGGGACATTACAAAGGTACTCAAACTATCCAACCAGGAGTGAACTCGTAACAATGGTTTTAAATTAGACAAATTTAGATTTAGGCGGGAAATAGGTAAACACTAGTTTGGAAACAGTAGTGGATGAATGGAACAAGTTACCAAATATCATCATTAACTCGAATACACTGGATAGCTTCAAACATAGGTTGGATGCTTATATGAGCAATAGGGGTTGGGTGTAAACGGGACTGCCCAGTATGGGCCAATAGGCCCGCTGCAGTTTCCTCCATTCTTATGTGTGTGAGCAGAGATAGATAGATAGACTCTCTCTCTCTCTCACCATTAGGGGAGTAGACTCTTAGGTTGATGGGGACGGGGGAGATTCCTTTATTTTGACCCGTGATGCGATCCGTGTCCGCCTCAATCTCCTTCCTGATCTCATCGAAGTTGCTGAATTTCTCCCCCTTCTTGTGTAGGAACTCGCCATATTCTGCAAAAATAACAAGATCATGTTAAATATATGATGATCTATACTCTATAATCACTCGCTATATTAACATCCAAAGGGGTATGAGGTAACACACAGGGGGGTCGTCCTCCTCGGGGGCAGTGAGTATAGTGTCATATAATCCTTCACAATACGAGGTACTAATATCCAAAACACACACGCTACAACAATCAAGAGAAAATTTAAATACTCAGGTCTAGTTACACCGATTCGACGCATTATCTTCTAGTGTGCGTCAATTGTGATTTACATATACTGTACATCAAACACCTACAGAGATGCGTAAATAAAATAATGCGTAAAAACAAATACACTTGGCGTACTATATATATATCTATCAACAATGAGTAAAAACAAATAAACATGGCGTATTAAATATCAATAATGCGTAAACAAACACACCGGTATGCACACTGCAGCCATACAGGTGGTGGTGGTGGTGTCTTTGTGTGTGAGTAACTATCTTGTGTAGCTTCACCTTAACTGTGTGTGTGTGTGTGTGTGTGTGTGTGTGTGCGTGCGTGTGCGTGTGCTACTTCTCGTCCCAAGTCACTCACTCCTAATATTTTGCTTTAAACACGCACGCACACACGCACGCACACCATCACTACCAATAACAGCCCCACCATCATCATCAATGTCACCAACACGTCACGACAACCACTATACCACCACCATTATACTACCAGCAACACCATCACCACCACTATACTACCACTATCACCATCAAGACACATCTTTATCACTATACCACTATCAATATATCAGGAGACACCACTACCACAACTCCAACACTACTACTACCACCATCTCTACCACAACTCACCAACCCCACCTCTACCACAACTCACCACCCCAACAACACACTACCACCACCACCACCTCTACCACAACTCCCCACCCCCACAACACACTACCACCACCTACCCCTCTACCACAACTCCCCCACCCCCCCAACTCTACCACAGCCAACACCACCCCCCCCCACAACAGACACATACCGGGCGTTCAAGGCTGCCTCCCGTACGTCCCTTCCACCACACCCAAACAACCTTAAACAATCCTCCCGTCTCTCTCTTTTTCCAAACCCGACTCCTCCCGTACGTGTCATCCTCCCGGGCGAGAACGTGGCGAGGACAGACGTGTCTCGCCCCCAGCAGAAAAACGAGGCAGGACAGAGAGAGACGGGGCCCGGCCAAATCTTTTCACGAGATTAGGAAACGCGTGGAGCCGAGCGGGGGAAAGAGACGAGATAAGGAAACGCGTGTGGCCGAGCGGGAAGAGGTGTGGCCAAGTGGGGAGAAGAGACGAGACTAAAGTAAACATCACCCACACGAGATAATAACCAAGTCAGTGCCGGCCTCGTGTGCTGCATAATAACATAGTACTGTAGAACTAGGCAATTGTGTCGTCACTCTTTTGATGTCCATCTTTTTCAAGCGTTGAATGGAATGTACTTTGGTGCAGGTTGTGGTGGTGATGGTTGTGGTAGTTGTGGTGGTGGTGATTGTTGTTGTGGTGGTGATAGTTGTTGTGGTGGTGGTGATTGTTGTTGTGGTGGTGGTGATTGTTGTGGTGGTGGTTGTTTTGTTGTGATGGCGGTGGTTGTGATGGTTATTTTTGCGGTAGCTGTGGTGGTTGTAATGGTGGTTGTAGGGACGTAAATCAGAAACAAAAAAACAACAACAATAACCGACAACACCCAATGATGGAACAAACTCAGGTAGGTATAGGGTGTGTGTGTGTGTGTGTGTGTGTGTGTGTGTGTGTGTGTGGAGAGAGAGGTATTACTCTAATTACTATGACTTGGATCACCTAGACACCCTGCACTTGAGCTGGATATGAAGGAGTGTGTTTGTTCAATGTGACGTAACTGAACATAGCAGGTTTTATCCAGATGTTCGTGAGGCGTAGGTGAACACGGCAGGTATTATCCAGGTGTTCGTGAGGCGTAGGTGAACACGGCAGGTATTATCCAGATGTTCGTGAGGCGTAGGTGAACACGGCAGATATTATCCAGGTGTTCGTGAGGCGTAGGTGAACACGGCAGGTATTATCCAGGTGTTCGTGAGGCGTAGGTGAACACGGCAGGTATTATCCAAGTACTCGTATGACGCAACGCAACATGACAAAAGATTTCTCCAGGTATTTCAACAAAAGATACGTCAATCATCACTTCCAAGAATAATAATTATACACGGCCGGCCACCACACATTATTAGTTTGGGGAACGGCGGCAGTACGAGCACCCAGAAGCCAACTCAATAAACCCCGAAATCCGAATCCCTAACCTGAATCCGAACCCCAAGTGACCCACACGAGCCTCATCAATCACAACATGCAATCAGGCTCCTTCCTCCTCGTTGTCCTGCTACAGTTGCTCGTCACGTTATGCCACACACAGCATCACGAGGGTAATCTGTTACAACTGATATACAAGTTAACGATGAGAAGGTTAGAAAGAAACAAACAAACAAACAAAACACACACGAGTTACCTTCCCACAGCTTGTATGTATAATTTTAATTGATTACGTAAGCAGGTGTTGGCCCCACCTCTCATACCCACAGGTGTACTTGTTTACTGTTGTCTCCCCTCCCCGTCCCTCACATAATGTAGCATTCCTCATCTCCCTGGCGACAAACAGCAATGATTTGGTAACACCTGGTGATTCACTTTAACGACATAAACAAGAAACATTTGGACTATTGCGCAGACGAGAATGCCTACACAGCCTTACTAATAGTCAAGCTAACCCATTGAGAGTGGTCACAGCGCCATTGACTAAAGCATCCATCAGTCTTCTGGGAATCCACCGAGAGAATAACATCCAATACCCGAGTCAGTCACAGTGTTCCTTCCCTTCCATAATGGCATAACAGCACCGCAGAGTATTTGTGTTTCCAGCTCCGTCCAGTTTTATTTTTTTTCAATTATCTTGTCAATCGCCCCCCTCCCCCTCCCCACCGGTTTCATCTCTCTCTCTCTCTCTCTCTCTCTCTCTCTCTCTCTCTCTCTCTCTCTCAGCTTGGTCTAGTGAACGACCAACTCACTCCTCTTCACTCACACACCACAATGGTCTTCTCTTCACACACACACTTGACCTACTGCCAAACCTCTTCTTATTCTTCGCCAATCTTAAAAAAAAACCATTACATTAACGACTCATGGTGGTGGTGGTGGGGCGCGCCATCACTCACCACCATCAGAACTTCACTTTGTTATTCGAGTGCAGAGCTGTCAAGAGCGCTTACGACCAATAACACCTGTCTGTTGTTGTTCCCGTGTGCACTGCTTCTTGATACACCTTCCCTAACACACACACACACCACGTCCTAAGCAACCTATTGTTACCAAGCATCACTCTACCCCCATCACCATAAAAAAAGAAACTGAGGTGTTCCAGTATATATTAAAACTTTGCTCTGTGTGTGTGTGTGTGTGTGTATGTGTGTGGAGCTCATATTTCTGGTGGTCTTAAATAAACAAACATTTACCTCAATTAAATACTAAACGTGTCAGCCATAAACAAGGTGAGATACACTTTAGGTTATATCTACCTAATTAATATACGAGTCACAGTTTAGGTAAGTTTCTCACATAATTACAGTTAATGCTTCAATATATATATATATATATATATATATATATATATATATATATATATATATATATATATATATATATATATATATATATATATAATTTAATCTAAGTTGTTACAAGTATGTGCAAAGACAACTGCCCACCCCATCAACATCTAAACGACCTTTCATAATACTAACATACACAAATACCAACATGGTGACACTGCGCACCACCTATGACTCTGTAAGACTTATCTGATAACGTGGAGTGACGATAGTGTGACGCACCTTAGTTGAACGATCTATTTACGTGTAATTAAAATGGTCAATGTACGCTGCCCCGGAGACTTGTGTTACGGGATTACTGTGTGTGTGTGTGTGTGTGTGTGTGTGTGTGTGCTCAACACAGAATGACGAGTTGCACCATGTGTACATAAAGCACCGGATGATGTCATAATATAAGATAATTTTAAAGGTCTGTTGTTAAACACACACACACACACACACACACACACACAAGATCATCGTTATAATGGTAATGTGATATGATGACCTGAGGTACAATTAACACACAAAAGAGTAAACAGTTTGAAACCCTTGATTACGATGACAATCCTCTGAGTAAGATGTTTTAATCCCTTGACTAAGATCTCTTAAACCCTTGAATGCAACCTTTTATATAACTCCCTGAGTAACATAAGAACATGAAACTGCAGCGGGCCTATTGGCCCATATTGGGCAGTCCCGTTTACACCCAACCCCTCTCGCCCATACTGTATATCCATCCAACCTATGTTTGAAGCTATCCAGCTTATTCGAGTTAATGATCATGATGTTTGGTAACTTGTTCCATTCATCCACTACTCTTTCCAAACCAGTGTTAACCTATCTCACGTCTAAATCTAAATCTGTCCAATTTAAAACCATTGCTACGAGTTCGCTCCTGGTTGGATAGTTTGAGTAAGAGGTCTTAACCCCTTGAGTACAATGCCCTTCACTATGACGACACCGTAGGCTACTCAGGGGCCTCGCGCCTCTCTATACAACAACAACAAAACGCCTACATAAATTACTTTTAAGGGAATTACACCAATATTAAACCATTTAACATAAACGTAACTTAAAATATCCTTATGCTGAAGTGACCAGGATAAGCGACGGTCACTGTATATGGTGATTCTATAATACTTTATATACAGTACAGCATGATGGTGATAACGTGTTCATCTATAATATCACACTTGATTTGTCATCATTACTTAGGGAGCTAATAGCGCCTTACTACCCCCTCTCCCTCAAGTAAATGCCAAAGCGCGGGCCCCTAACTCCAGATAATCCGTTCGTAAATTATAACTGTCTTTAAAATCAATACAAACGAGCCCCTTAGTCTTTAAA